TATATGCAAAATAAGAAGAAAAAGGAGGAATGAAAATACGAGAAAAAAGAGAGACGATACAGTTTGGAAGGTGAACTCGTTGTTAAACCAGTTCGATGACGAAACATACGGGCAAATTGGGCAAGGAATAAAATAATCGAAGGAATAAACGCTAGTGGAAGGCATCAGGATCCCAGGATGCTGGCTTTCATTGAATCAGCTGGTTCGACATGTTATAAATAGCCCAGAATCTTATTCTTGCAGCAATTCTCCGATACCACTTCCATATCTGGAATCTCGTGAACCAGTATTTCTTCTTTTTTTGTTGTTCTACTGGTGCATCGGCAATATACCCTGTGCAGCTATCACGCACACCAAGTGACTAAATGAAAGCACATCGGCACTATCGAATGCAACATCCACTATGTCAGTGAAATTTCTCTGATTCTGTAGCCAACGGCATCCTCCCTTCAGATTCGTGTCTATTGGAGAACTTTATAAAAATTTTATTCTTATTATACGACAGAAGTTCCCTGCTCCTCTGAAATTAAAAGTCTAAAGAAATCTTTAAAAAAAGGAGATAAAAGAAATTTATAAATTCTGTTCTATTATAATTCTGCCACTATTGTACAAGGGAACTTTCCACGATGCACAAATGTTCTTTCTAAAAAAGGCGAAAAACTGGTTGAAAATTTATTGGAATTCAATATCATCATTAGAAATCTGTTAACAGCGGAAGGCGAATTAAGCAACAATTTAAACACTCGAAAATAATTTTCCAATTATCATTATTTAAAGATTACTGAACACCCAGTGTGTATTCATGGTACTGATGTGTAATATCACTCATGTACAAGATGTAAAACTCAGCTGGTCACTACCATTCACCAAGTCCGCAGGTTTTATTGTAATCATTTTTATTAAACTGGAACCCGTTAAAAATGATGGAATATATCTACCTGTGATATTCCACGTGGAATCAAACAGTATCGCCATATTTCAACATATTATTAAAGACGTCGGATTTTTAATCTTGCTTCATCGTTTTCCTTTTTCCAGGCCTACATTTCCTGCGCGTTGGGCGTGCACCGAGTCGGCTACGTAATGATCTGCTTCGGTGTGGTGAACGCTGCTTGCTCTTTGGTCTTTGGATCTTTAATGAAATTCGTCGGCAGACAGCCACTTATGGTGCTGGGCGCTATCGTCCATGTTAGTCTTATCGTCGTGCTACTCCACTGGAAACCGAACCCCGATAATCCTTACGTGTTTTACACGGTCTCCGGGCTATGGGGTGTTGGCGACGCGGTTTGGCAAACGCAAGTCAACGGTATGTTATAAGAAAAAATACATATATTTCATTCAAAAAGAGACAAAAAGGAAAAAGATATTCTATGTGAAACGGTTGTAACTCTCGTGACCTGGAGTTGGGGGTTTTTATACGTTTGTGAGAAATGTAAAGATGGGAAGAATGCAAACAGTGTGCAAAAATATTCATAAAATATCGAAAGTAGGATACTTGTTATATACAGGTATTCAGTTTAGGAAAATGAATTTTTACTTAGCTTCCATTTTTTTTTTTTTAATTTTCAGATTTCATTTAACAATAAGTCGGAATATATAAATTATTATCGGTTCTACAGTATCGTGAATTCTACTTATAACTAGCAGAATGTACATTTAAATTACGAGCTTTTTGGTACTAGTTTTTATTAAAGCAGTTTCTTTATGGTTTATTATTGTTATATTATTATTATTATTAATTAATAATATTATTATATAATTATGGAAATTAGTAATTATGGAAACTAGTTTATTATTCTAATCATGGAATCAGTGATAACGACAATTTCTTTCTAATGAGCTGACTCTAACATTCGTGTCAGTTTCATAGTGTGTTACAAATGAAATTAAATTCTTTTATCTGAAAATTTAATCTAGGAATATATAATGTAAGGTTATTAAAAGACTGTCTGATGTAATATATCAAAGATACCTTGACATAGATTTACAAAGAATTATTAAACAGTATATTTCCTTATTTCATCTGTCATTAATATGAACTAGGAAACATAGTACAATTAGAAAAAAAATAGATGTATCTAAATATTTTCCAACGCAATGCAGTCGCATATTTTTTTGTCTTAATCTGTAAACGATCTTGAAGTGTACGACTGCCATGAGTCATGCGCAAAATAAATGTCTGTCAGAAACAAGGAAGAATAATTACTTGTAACTCTTAGCATAGTGACAAATAGTATAAAAACTAACTTTTTAAACAAGAATGGACAGTCGTTAACAATTGTAGAACAATTAGCCGGAATTTTCTAAGATATAGTCATTCCTCTTATTGGTTTGTATCGATTATTAATAAAATTTCATTATTTTAATTATCCAACTTGTTAACTGCGAAGAAGAACTTCATCACACGTTGAATGGCTAATTCTACATATTTATATAAGAGCTAAGCAAAATATTGAATTCACCTCGATGTTTATTAGATTCTTTTACTTGTAATCGAGCCTATTATCATCATCGCTTGTTAATTTCAATCTTTTATTAAGTTGAACATCTACCGAAGAAGAATTGAATTATGATTAGAGAAATAGATATATTGTTTGTAAGAAAAACTCAGAATTATTATTCCAAGGAGATAATTCAATCGACCAAGGAGATGAGTAATTTTCAGAAAAAAATGTTAATCTTGAGATTACTTAAAACTATATTTTTCCATACTAATTATTTACAAAGCGATTTTAGTAAGTAAATTTAGTACAAGTACTAAATTAAACCAGTTTTTTTGTATTCTAACTACGTCGATGTATTAATGATGATGTTTGAATTTTTATGTTAAAAAAAAAAAAAAATTCGACACAAAATTCAAGCAAAAAATCATGAATATTAATCACGTAGACTACTGAAATTTCTGACGTTTTGGGTTATGGGAATACTTAATTTTTGGAAAAATATAGTAGTGTATTTTTTATTTTATTTCATTTTTTGCCAGTAATATTCATTTTATTTCGAACTATAAATATTTGAAAACCATGACTATAAATACTATAAATATTTATAAGACTGAACTGTAAATATTTATGAGACCGAAAATACTAATCACCGGTGAGTCAACGTGTTTTAACAAATGTATATCTTCCGCATTTGCCTCGAATTTGGAAAATTTTTTAACAACAACAGGCAAACACGGTTAAATGAAAGCTAGAGTTAGACGCTGGTCTAGTTCCATCAGTAACAATTAAGTTTCAGAAATGCTTATGTAAATGCTTTCTTCGTCATTTTCAGGTTTATACGGGACGTTATTCAGGCGTAACAAAGAAGCCGCGTTCTCCAATTATAGACTATGGGAGAGTGCTGGTTTCGTGATTGCATACGCGTACAGCACCCATCTATGTGCCCGTATGAAGCTGTACGTGCTGTTAACAGTGCTTCTTGTCGGGACGACCGGATACATCATAGTAGAACTGTTGCACAGGCGTAAGCAGAAGAGGTTGAAGGCCATCGCGGAGGATCCAAAGGCGGCCCAAGCGGAGGCGAACCAAGTGGAGGAGACCGACGATGAAAAGGACGATATAGACGACGATATTATTATCACACACCTCTGAAACAATGTCACCAATGTGAACTCCTCGCGCACCGACGAGGAATTTCAGCTTGATCGACTCTACTCTTTTATTCTTCCTTACTGCTTCTTTCTCTAACGACGAAGTTAGTTCTCTTTTACCAGTCAGCCGAGACACACGAGATCATAGATCCTCGATATAATCAAGTGATCGAAAGCTGCCTGGAGAAGTGCGGTTGTTGCTCGTACACATAGGAAGCGTAAGGGATGACGCGTCGTCTTTTTATTTTATTTTATTTTATTTTTTTATTTCTTCGAAAGAACATAGAACAGAAATTGATAAAATTAATGATACGAATATATAAACATGAATGTTCATAAATTATCACGTGATTTGTTGATGTATATGCGATGAAATTGTCGGAGATCGATTATTGATAAGGAATATCGCTGGATTACGATAAAATGCACGCAGATACATAAATTTGCTCTTGTTGGAGCGCTTTTTTTTATCTTTTTTTTTTTTTTTCTTTCTTTTAAATCGTTCACGCAGTAAACACATTGTTTTTGTAAACTTCACGTTAGATACGCTTCATTCATTCTTCACGTCGTGTAAATGCACGCCGACGTTTTTTTTTTTTTTTTTTTTTTTGTTCTCCTTTCTTGCATCGAGAAACGAAAGAAAAATGAAAAAGGGAAACAGAAGTCCCGCACGCGACAAAGCTCGCAGACCATGCTTGAAACGCGTTTCTACTGGGAAACGAGTACGCACGAGGAAAACACTGTGAAAGAGTAAAAGAAAGAAATACGACTCATACAAAATTAATGAGGGATAAGGATAATGCACGGGGGGTTGTATACTCGGCGATCAGTCTCGCCTCGTGCACGTGTTGTTATACGTATCGTTTGCAACGATTCAGCACGACGATTCCATTGTCAAAACCTATTGTTAAAAACGAATTGCTTGCCTTCATGGTGCTAGAAGCGCGTTCCGATGCCATACTCGCCCTTATGCGTTTACATAGTCTATATTCGAAATCATTTACATAGTCTATATTCACGTAAGTGTAGTAAGTTTAATTATCCAAAAAGGCAGGAAAATAATAATAATAATAATACTAATAATAATAAGATACAAAGTGAACCGATCGTTGAAATATCCGCTGCAAATAGAATGGATCAACGAGTTTGATTTTTTTCAAATAGTACAAAAAGGAAAACGATTAGGAAAAATAATCTGCGTTTAATCGGTCACAGAATTATTTATACAATGAGTGAAATAATAAGACAACAAGGAGTTTCTCTAATATATATACTTTCTATTTAAAGATGTATATGTATAATTTAATTTAATAAACCAAACTGAAATGTTTAAATCAAGTAAACAATATTAGAAAGTTCTTCGTATTGTCTTATCATTATTGGACAACAAAGAATTTCTTAATATACCTTCGACATATAAATAATAAAAGTTATGGAATAACGAAGTTGAGAGTATTTTAAATGTTAAATAGATATTAAAAAGTTCTTTACATTGTCTTATCATTTTGCAAATTTTTGTTATATCTTCGATTGTAAGAATAATTTTGTGACTCGCAGCATGTCTTATAAATTAACACGCAAAAAGGAGATGATTCGTTAAACGAGTTCGAAACGATTTGAATATTATTCATAATATTATACGTATTCTTGTAAGATGTAAGACATTTCCCCATTGCCACTATGTGGAAGCGCTTCGTAGCAACTTGCCATTAAGTTTTATCGGAATTGTACGTCCCAGTCTTGTGATAAAAAGATCGGACGTTCCCATACCGAACAGTTCGATCGTGAATTTGCTTATCTTGTATATAGATTATGGATAGCAATTGTGTGCGCGGTGAAATGTATATTCCATTCGTATGCGTTGTTCTGGCTCAGCGAAGCCACGGTTTCTCAAACTGTAAACGAACCGAGTTTCGCGTCTTTATTGTTTTTTTCTTTTTTTTTTTTTTTTCTTTTTATTCGCAAGTACAGATGCACTTATCATTAGTTGATTAAACAACCACTAGATCGAGCCTGTAATTTTAAATGTTCTATGACTCTATAATTTTTGCCAAGTTACAAGAACAAGGGTTCTTCTGTTCTAAGATTTTTTTTTTATGGTGTTTACAGATGATAAAAGAATCATTGAACAATATTTTCATTTTGTTCGTTTGATCGAAGCAGGGATTGTGCATCTGTAATTCGATCGATGAAAACCAAAACCGTCGAAAGGGAATCCACGGAAGACCATTTCTCGAGAAACATTTCTCGTTCACCATCTCCGAGAGAGAATGAGCGAAGAAAGAGCGTTTGTAAAAATTTTCCCCAATGCATTTCTCATGCATGCACCGCGGAATTCTAATTACCTGTAGTGATGATCGAAATCACCATAAGATTCGTAGAAACAAAATCGTGATTAAGTATGACCTTAATTACGTATATATTAGAAGAAATAACGAAAGATTATGACGTATTAATAGTAAACGTAAGGAAGATTGTAGTCGTTAATTTAATATTAAGTATTAGAAAGAAAAATTTATTTTATAGATCACCTCTGTTTC